AATGTGTTAAGAGGATAGATCTCACGTTGACTGCTCTTACAATTTAAAAAAGGCACAAATGAACTATCAAGCCACAAAAGAACATAGAGAAACCTTAAATGCATATCAATAAGTGAAACAAGCAAGTCAGAAAAGGCTATATACCATATGATTTCAATTCTATGACATCTGAGAAAAGACAGAGACTACAGAGACAGTAAAAAGATCAGTGGTTGCTACAGGTTGGAGCAGAGAGCATTTTAATGGCATGGAAACTATTCTGCATGGTAATGTAATTGTAGATACATGATATTTTGCATTTCTCAAAACTCACAGAACTGTAAAACACCAAGAATGAATCCTAATATAACCTATGGACATTAATTAATAATGATGTACCAATACTGGTTTGTCAATTGCAATTAAATGTACCACACCAAGATGTTCGTTATAGGAGAAACTTGTAGGAGAGGGGCCAGTGGTGTATGGGAACTCTCTGTACTTCCTGTTCAATTTTTCTGTAAACCTCATACTGGTGTGATAAATAAAATCTATCGATTTAAAAGCAAACACAAAGATCAATTTCCTATTCGAGCAGTTTAGGAGAGTAAACTGACAGCCAAAGCAGGTGGGTGCCTTTGTCCCTACAAAGCAGAAATGAATATACTCACATGTAGGTGACCCAGCCTTTAGCAGTTTGGGAAATTACCCCTTATTTCTTCGCAAGAAGAGCCCCCATTCCAATGTCCCAGTGACCCAATGATCTTTAGCTACTCTTAGGATATTGAAAGTGTATCTTCCTTCTCTAGCCCACTAACCTCTCAGACTCAACTTCAGGCCCAGAAACAAACAAACAAACAAACCACCAACCTGCAGCCTTGGAATGGGGATCTAGTGCATTTAGTTGGGCTGATTCTTGCATTGATGATGTGGTGCCCCTCTAAGAGGTTCTTTAAATATTTGTAAAACATTTATTTTTGAGAAACACCTGCCGAGTAGAAGGGGTACAAAGGAAATCCCCAATGAAGGCAACCCCCCTTTCTCTATGCCCCATTCAACAAAACAAAAGCCTTGTCTCCAAATAAATCTTCCTTAGAATTTATCAACCATGAATTGCTCTTCAGGCATGGGGTCCTCTCTTCATTTATCTACTGAAACAAACATTATTTCTTTCTGCTAATACCATACTCTTCCTTAGAGAAGTTCACTATCTCATTACCTTTTCAGGGATGTTTAGTGCCCCCTTTTAACTTGGCACCCTGGGAAGTAGCCAGGACAGCCCCCATCCAACCCCATAAATTGGCTTTGTGCATTCAGATGCTTTGCAAGCATATGACTGTAACGGAGCTGGGTTAGGAGGTGAAAGGGAAAAGCTGAAAATTAATACTATTTCCATTAATCCATGTAGGAAAAAAAGCCTTATGGGCATCTCCTAAGGTTCTTGTATATACCCCATCAGTCAGAGGAACAATGTAAAAAGATATTTAGGAATTAAGGAGGACAAATTAATTGGAAGTGATGAGGCAGGTCAAAAGCAAAAAGAGCCAAGAGAGCCTAGATGTCTATTTCTTCACATCAACTGAAAGCCAAAGATCTCCCTTCAAAAATGTCCATTTATGAATAATGGATATGGGGAAATTATAGAAAAGAGCCATAAATGATGGACATAAACTGCCTTGTAATGGACTGGCACCCTCCTTTCCTTGTTTCTGAATGTGACTTAAAAAGTTGTCCTGTTGAGACTCCTCACTTCTCATGGATTTGCACAAAACATTTAAACTTTCTTAAGATAAGACGAACCTTTGGCTAAGCAGGAAAAAAATGCACAGAATGAGCAATCAGATTTCTTCCCCCAAAGTAAGGAGACCTAACAATAAAGGGGGGGGGGTGAAACTAAAATATTTAGATTCAAACACATATCCAGTTCCCTGTTCTTCTATAAGGAGACATCGTTTTCCTCACAAATGTCAATGATTTAAACTTTTGCTTTAACTATAATAATATTTTATTTGCTTGCTGTATTAATTTGTGCCTCAACCAAGGAAAAAGGAAAACAGAGGTAAGTCTCCTTTTGTGCTGAAATACTAGAGAGACAAATATGACCTACTACCCTATATGAGTGTTTTGTCATTTACAGGCAATACTAACTATATATTCCACTTTCCTTTTCCAACTATGAAAGAAACCCTCTACCAGAATAGTTTGATGAATTTTAGTGAGGTAAATGAGGTACAACTGCTAATCTTTAAACACTATGCATTCTTCACAGTGACAACAGCAGTTTGTATTTCTATGGACTTTGTTTCAACAGAACGGTGCCTTTCCTTCTGCAAATGAAAAACATGATTCTGAACATCTCTGTGAGGAAGGCAGGTCTGATCTCCCTGGCATGAAGAATAGGCCTTACAATAGAAGAGGGTGTCCTTACAGAGAGAGATGGTCCTTACAATGGAAGAAGGTGTCCAAGAAAAGTGTGGCAACATGGTTTGCTTGCAGATTCCACAACCTATTAACAAAAAATTGACCACAGTTTTTCTCTCCATCAAACAAACACATTTTGAAATATTTATTATCTAGTCAGATGAAGCAGGAAAGAAATTCCAGCCTAAAAATAAATAAATTACTATCACCCATGATGGGTAACATAAGCACAAAATAAGGGTTGTTTCTTTCCTTTTTCTTTTTCTTTCTTGTATCTCTGCTGTACACTGGAAACCACTTCAGTATACATAGAATGATTAAGCCCTAACAAAGCATTCAGGAAAAGAAGGGCCTAAGAGATTATGAACCAGAGAGTGCTGTAGCTAGCTCCCCAATGACCTTCTCCCCCCACGGTGCGTTAAAATTTACAAAGCAGATTTACATATATTACTTTATTTCATGTCTTCCGTAACTCCAAGTTACCCCAATTATTCCTATTTTACAGGCAAATAGATCAAGGCCTAGATCAGATAATTGACTTGACTGAGGTCACATAGTTGAGAAGTAGTCAAGACTTGAGCTAGTATCATCTGAGCCCGAGGTTAGGCTCCTTCCACCTCACTGTGGTTGCCTTGCAACAAACAGTGTCCAGGTTAGCCAAATCCATCATGGCACGGAGTTAGTCCAAATAATATAGTCAAGTTCTTTTTTCCTCTAAAGCAGTGTTTCTCAAACTGTGATCCATTTGTATCAGAATCACCCAAAAAGCTTGAAAAAAATGACGGAAATTCCTGGAGATTTTGTTCAACAGGTTTGGAACACTGCTTTGGAATCAATGTGTTAAATCCACACTCCACATGATTCAGATAATCCTTTGGAATCCTTGATATGACCCAATTTCCATGGTCGTTGTTCAAGTTTGCCAGATCCGATTATTTGCTATAGTGTTGCCTATGCAGATTTCCTCCTATTTGTCTTAATTTCAGAAGCCATAAATGATACCTTTGTATAAGGAAAGCCCTTCTGCCAACTTCTAAAGGCAATGCTCAGTTTAATGTGAAATCTCTACATGGAACAAAAAATAAACATTGATCACAGTCCCAAATGCCATAGGCTTTTACTCTGAGGTACTTCTGGGATGACTTGATATTTCAGTCTACTTTGTTCCTAAAAGTGAGATTTGCCCATATTTCTTCCAAAGCTTTCTCCTCCCCCACCAAATAGAAACCTTAGGGTAGTAGGTGATGATGAGACTAATATTACTGTGAATCAGGTGGGTTGAATTCATACATTAGTTACTTAAGTACTTAATGATCATTGGTCATAGATTCATGTAACTTTATTAAGGAAAAAAAGGCCAGAAATATGAAGCCCCACCAAAATATCTTCGTTTTTGGCTTTTTTGTGTGTGTGACCTGGAAAATCTACATCCTATCATTTCCAGTTACAGGGACAATGTAAATGAAATGAGAGCTGATAAATAATCTTCCACATGTCCTGCAAGTGCTGTTGACAAACTGAATGGATAAAGTCAGGCTTTAATGTTTGCCCGTGTCCCTTTACAACTTGTCTGATTCAACTGAGGAAAAATCAAGGGCTGAGATCTCCAAACAAGGAGGAGGACACTCCAGGCAAGGCCATGGTCTCTTCTGAGAAGGTGATATGGAGAGCACCCTCTGTGCTTTTATCTATGTTGATATAGGATGGGGTGAACTGTCTTGAGTGGTAACTATAGCACTTATAGTGACTTGGGTAGATGATGGTACCAGGTACTGAGACAGGATGTACTGGAGTGGACAGAAATGTGTACACGGGCAGGGGTAGAATGAAGAGTTCAGTCTTGACTATGTTGAGAACATGAGCTATCCTGATGGGTATGTCATAAAGGCAGTTGGATCTGATCTGGGGCTGAGAGGAAGGGTCTGAGTTAAAGATGTGACTTGCAGTTATAAGCATATAAAACCACAAGGGCACCAAAATGATGATGCCTGAGAGGGTGTATGAAGTGAGGAGGAAAGAAAGAACAAGCACTGAAGAATCCAGTGTTTATCACCAAACAATCTTTAGCAGAGAAGGAGAGGGAGCAACTAATGAAACATAGAGGGTAGGCATGTATGATGTTACAGAAGGCCTCTACTGACGGGCTATTGGACTGTTTCCTATCTTTTACAATAAGCACTTTTGCATGTACTCAATTCTCACATCTGTATCTATCTCTGTAGGATCGATACCCAAAAGTGGACTGGCTGCATAATACAGATGTCTCATTTTGAATGTCAAAGTGTTGATGTTTGCAAGAAAAGGTTGCTCAGAAAAGCCACCAAACATAGCTTAGTCAACCATATTTAATATGTGTTTGATAGGCGTGCTTAACTAATTTAGCTATATCCCTATTATGTAATACTCTATAGCCATAAGAAGGGATGGAAGAGGAAGAAGGCAGACCTAAATTTTTTCACTATTTTGAACTATTTGAATTTTGTGCCATTTGCATATATTTCCTATGTTTAAAAATATTTGTACTTCTACACAATACTTAGTAAAACAGAGTGACCCGAAGATCACTTTGCCTTTTCTTTTTCAGAGCAACACCACAGGTTTCTTTTCTTTTCTTTTTTTTTTTTTAACACCACAGGTTTCTGATGGACTTCTGCATACCTGGGTTTTGCATTATGGAAATACCCAGTTAGATGTTGGATTTTATGAAACCTAATACAGATAATTGCTCTAAAAGTGGCAAAGGTATGAACACATAAATTTTATGCTTACCTAGAGTTCAAGTTATACATTTTGCCACTTTTATTATTAGTGAATAAATATACTTCATTTTGTTTACATTAGAGTGGTCTCCAGACTTCACCACCATTACCCTCTCATGGGCCCTAAAAATGTCACTGAAGACAGAATAAGTCAGATCAAGTCTGAAAAAATTAATTTTTTCAATATAGGAAGCCATGATGATCTTACACTTTTTATTTTCTGTTTTTAAGAAAATAGCATAGGTATATGAGTGTAAGTGTGTAAGAAAATGTTCCATACGTACTAAGCTACAGTAGACCAATAACTTCAATTATTGAGAATTAGCCTATTTTTGAATAACACTGAAAATGGACTGCTTATTCCCTAAGAATAATGCTAAATATATTCTTAGATCAGTTTTCAAAGTTCAAGAAGATATTCAGAATGTGGAAAAATTAGTTTGAATAAGCCTGAAGATGATTATAGCTTTCTTCCCACTAAAATTCAGTTTCTATTCTTTTAAAGATTTTATATAAATTTGAGTGAAAAAGTGAGCTGAAGGGCTAGAATAGGACTCTAGAAGAAGAATGAGTCAGGTACTTCATACTGAAATAACCTGACTCTGCTCCACCTTCCTTCATCTATGCCCTCTTGTCCACCCTGATAAGCATAAAATTATGCCAAGGGCTACAGTGGAAAGAATACTGGCCTACAAGTCACACCCTGGATTTAGTCTGGATATAGTCATAGCTTCTATATGATCTTGGTTAAGTCATTTTAGCTTTCTTGGAGCTTCAGATTTGGAATATGCAAAATCAGGAACCAGGTCTGAGGTATCTTTCAGCTTTAACTACTTTTGCATCTAAGCCTGGTGGCCAAAGCATATGGAATTCCAGGTAATAGAAGGTATAGTAGACTGAACTGAACTACTGGCTGCGATTCTTCTTCCCTTCCCGCATCCTCATCCTTGCCATGGCTTCATTGTGAGCAGAGTATATTTCCCTGCCTCTTAATTTTAGGCTTGGCCATATGACTTCCTTTGACCAATGAGATATCAGTAGATATGATACAGGCAGGGGCTCAAAATGTACATTAGTTCTTATTCCCTTGTAGTTAGTGGCTTAGAATATTTTACAAAATAAATGTTTACCATAGAGCCCTCTAATTGCTAGCTCCTAACTAAGATGACACTACATCCCAATTTTCCCAGGTCAATCCTGGTTTACATCTACTGTTCTGGTATAATGATTTAGTTCTTTTCACTCTCAAAATTGGGCTGATTTAGATTATAAATTATATAATCACCATAGAAAAACCTGTCAGTTCATCTTGAAAATTTACCTGGTTAATCCATAAGTTTGCTACAATAACAGGGCCATCTCCTTGCCCAAGCAACCATACTCACAATGCCTTTTTTTGGATTATGGGAATTCCAGGGTGAGAAAAGGGTAGCCAGTACCCCTTCTTACTCTTCAAATGATCTACATTATGAGTGGCCCCTTTACCCCTCAAACCATTTTAGGAAATGCAAAATAACTCATTAATAGAAAAAGTTTAGGGATTCCAAATTTCAACTGTAGTTTCAAAGAAGCTTGTACCATCTCCCTTATGGTATAAAGCCAATGAATCATTGCACAATTGTCCTATTGACAGGACAGTGTGGCACACTTTCTATCATCCCATCAAAAAGGCCCTAGCCCATGGACATATAGAAATACCTGCTCTTTTAGACACTCAGCAAGACCCTAAATGTTTATAACACCGACCTCTCTCCCCATAGGTCCCAATACCCTCAGGTGAGAGACGGCAGGGAAGCAGAAGTCCAGGTCCCAAGACTGATACTGGTGTGAAATGGCAGCCAGACAGTGCCTGGGGGCCTCACTTTGAAAACTGGTACCTTCAGAGCCTACACTTCCCCATGCTGGACCGGAGCATGAGTACACCCTCTACGGGAATCCCAGGATTGTCGGCCATCTTCTGCCAGAGGCGCTGCTCTTCCCCCTGAGAGTCCATCCAATCCACATTCTTCCCATGGCTCATACCTAAGGAAAGGTAAAGGGTGCATTACACTTCACAGATGAAATGTTTTGATCTTCTGGAACACACCTATCAATCTCTGAGGGGGGGGCCTTTTGAGCAGAGAGTCCTTCACTGGCTTGTATTCACTTACTATATCCAGTGAGTAGTGTTAGCATGAAGGACTCCCTTTGCAGTCTGCACTACTCACCTCCGCCAAGATAATGAGCAACAGATCAGGATGGCCCCAGTGGCTCATTTCTCCCCCCACTTTGGTAGTTTTTTAGAGAGCTGGCTCATCTGGACTGAGTTAATGTGACAGAAGAACAGGCTGAATTGGGCTCTGATGCTCTCCTTTTTTACCAAGGCCACTTCTCCGACCTGGGGCATTTTCACTTCAGTGGTATAGATATTTTTGGCTCTCCTTAATCTGTAACTAAGTACAGCACCGTAGAGGTGGGGTTGTCCTTAACAGGAATATCAACCATGGTGTGTGAAGACCCTCTATGCCTGATGTAAGTTACAGGTTAACAAGAGTTTTGGGGGCTGTATATGCTCTACTACTGTCATTTCCCTCCAATCCACCCGTTGTGGTTGTGTCTTGTGGCATCAGTGGCATGTTTCCATGATCTGTTTAAACAACATTAGATGTTATTTTTTAGTGAGCGGGGAGGATGGGCTTCCTTTCAGTTCAACCAGTGAGTAATCTGAGAAGAAAAGGTGGTCTTGGAAATGGTTCTCTCCCCTCACAGAGGCTTGTGCCGTCTTGGTGATCCTCTCCTGAGAAAAATCTGAAATAGCACCCAAGAAAGTAGTCGAAATTCACTTAGACTAAAGTGTAAGTGATATTTTGTAAAAGGACTGAATATAAACATTATATATCCTAAACTTACAGCCAAAGGATCCAAACTTACATAGTAGTATTTTTATTTTAACAATGGGCAGATTCTTAGCTAAAGGAATGGACCATCTGTGGTAATTTCAGGAATCAGCTAAGCTGAAACTACATGTACATCTACCACATGTTAACCCGCAGGAACTGCTCTTCCATCCCATATCCAGTCACAGACCGTCTCAGGGTCCTCTAGTCCCTTACCAGTTCCAGAATTCAAACGAACTCCTCCCAGAAAGATGTTGCTGGAAAAGGCCTCCTTGTCCCAGACAGTAAGTTCAAGGCAAACATTCTTTATGTCCTGGGGATTCAGGCCACTGAACATGAAAGTATGATTCCACTGAGGGTTAACACTCTTCTTTACTACCACAGTTTTGTGCTTGGTAGCTTTGCTATCATCAGGGAGCAAGTAGCTGCAAGAGAAAATGCAAGCAAGCCATTGGTAAAACAGAAGATGGCATCTTTGAGTAGTTATTTCAATTCCCCATAATTCTTCGTGCATCTACATGTTTATTTGATTTTTTTCTTTTAGGTTCTTATATGCTTAAATCTAGATTTAGGGGGAATGTTTTATTGCTTATTTTAAGTAGGACAATAGTAAAATGCCTGCACTTTCCTTTCTAATCCTATTTTGGTCCTTCCCTCATCTTGAAATGAAAGTATCTCCTGTAGTAGGTACTTACAATAAAGAAGACACATTGCAACACCTGAGATTTCATTTCGTGTACCAAGAAGAGACTGCTTATTTCCTGATATTCATTCTCGCCTTATTCTTTAAAACAGATTCATTTTTTTTACTTAGGCACAAGATTGCTCAGAATAAAGAATACATTCCCAGCCTCCCTTGCAGCCAGTATAGACATGTACTAAGTTCCAGCCAAAAGGATATAAAAAGTAGTTCTGTATGAAATTTCTGGGAATTGTCTTGACAGCTGGAATTTGGATGAGATAGCTGAAACTCCAGCAGCTATCTTAGCCCAAGAAGTGGATACCATAACAAGATAGAAGAAACACGGGTCCCTAATTATCATGATGCTTTCATACCCACCCTAGATGCTTTACCTTTTGTCTTTGTTTACATGTGAGAGAAAAAAACTTTGCTTTCTCATGCTCTCTTTTCTTTTTAAAGATTTACTTTGAGAAAGAGAGAGAGAGAGAGAGAGAGCGAGCAAGCATGTGGGGCAGGGGCAGAGGAAGAGGGAGGAAGAAAATCTCAAGCAGAACCCTTGTTGAGCACAAAACCCTACACGGGGCTCCATCTCAGGACCCCAAGATCATGACCTGAGCTGAAAACAAGGGTTAGACACTAAACTGACCAAGTCACCCAGGCACCCCCTTTCTCATGCTCTTTTAAAAAAAAAATCTGAGGTCCCTTTAAAATCAGCTTAATATTTAAGTATAATTAGTAGAGAAACAATTTATTAGAAAATTACTGGCCTTTTTTCATTATAGAACAAAGACACCGTCCTTTGTTATTTCTACTTGGTAAAAGTTCAACATGATAAAGTGAAAACTATTTCCTCTTTATTTTTTAATAATAAATTTATTTTTTATTGGTGTCCAATTTGCCAACATACAGAATAACACCCAGTGCTCATCCCGTCAAGTGCCCCCCTCAGTGCCCACCACCCAGTCACCCCCACCCCCCGCCCTCCTCCCCTTCCACCACCCCTAGTTCGTTTCCCAGAGTTAGGAGTCTTCCATGTTCTGTCTCCCTTTCTGATAGTGAAAACTATTTCAAAAGATGCTAAGTCACTCCTGCAAGGCCACAATGAAGCCATAGGTAAGGAGCCATTCCCTCACCAGATGATGAGTGGGAAGAGGCCTGAACTGGATGGTGGGGCTAGTGAGGCAAATTGCAATGGCAGGATCCAAATAAAGCATTTCTTTTGTGCTTAAAACTATTGTGAAAAAGAATGAAGGACAGCTGAACTGGGACTCAGACCCACACACTTACCAGCAGGAAAGTCCCAGATATATGCTTCTCCTTATTATTGGCTTTATCAAAATTAGAATATGTGAGGGTAAAGGTTTGACTCTTTTTTTGTAGAGTCAACTATACTTTTCTAAGAAGGATTGATGATAGGAATAGTAATCTCATTGACTCAAAGAATTAACCTCATGCCCAAAACCTATAATCAAAATACAAAACAATAAAAGGAAAGCCAAACAAAACACTACAGAAACTCATCAATCACAAAGAGAGCAAGAGAAAAAGAAAGGAACAGAGCAGAACTACAAAAACAACCAGAAAACAATGAACAAAATGGCAATAAGTGCCTACCTAGCAATAATTACTTCAAATGTAAATGGCCTAAGTGCTCCAACCAAAAGACAGAGGATAGTGGGATAGATTAAAAAAAAAAAACCCATAAGATCCATCTATATGCTGCCTACAAAAGACTCACGTCAGACCTAAAGACACATACAAGACTGAAAGTGAAGGGATGAAAAAGTCTTACTATGCAAATGGAAGCAAAAAAAGAAAAAAGAAAAAGCTGGGATAGCAATACTTCTATCAGACAAAATTGACTTTAAAACAGACTGTAACAGGATGCCTGGATGGTTCAGTGGTTGAGCATCTGCCTTCGGCTCAGGTCCTGATCCTGGGATCAGGGATGGAGTTCCGCATCAGGCTCCCTGCGGGGAGCCTGCTTCTCCCTCTGCCTATGTCTCTGCCTCTCTGTGTAGTGTGTAGTGTGTCTCTCTCATGAATAAATAAAATAATAAATAAATAAATAAATAAATAAATAAATAAATAAATAAATAAATAAATAAATCAGACTGTAACAGGGACACCTGGGTGGCTCAGTGGTTGAACATCAGCCTTTGACTGAGGTCATGATCCCAGGGTCTTGGGATCAAGTCCCGCATCGGGCTTCCCATGGGGAGCTTGCTTCTCCCTCTGCTTATGTCTCTGCTTCTCTCTCTGTGTCTCTTATAAATAAATAAGATCTTTAAAAAAAAAACAGACTGTAACAAGAGACAAGGGCATTACATAATGATAAAAGGATCAGTCCAACAAGAGAGTATAACAATTGTAAATATCTACACATGCAATACTGGAACACCTAAATACATAAAAACAAATATTAATGGACATAAAGAGAGAAATTGATGGTAATATAATAATAGCAGGGACCTTTAACACTCTACTTACATCAATGGATAGGAAGAAAGTCAATAAGGAAAAAGTGTCTTTGAACGACACATTAGACCAGACATGACAGATGTATACAGAATGTTCCATTCCAAAACAACAGAATACACATTCTTTTCAAGTACATATGGAACACTGTCCAGAATACATCACGTCAGACTATAAAACGAGCCTCAATAAACTTAAGAAGACTGAAATCATACCATGCATCTGTTCTGACCACAGTGCTATGAAACTAGAAATCAATCACAAGAAAAAAACTGAAAAAAAAAAAAGAAATATGCTTCCCCCAAAGCACTCTCTAGTCAGTATCCCTGGGAAGGATGCTCTGAAATCTCTACTTTTTACAATTTCCCCTGAGAGAGCAAAATACCAGGGATCCAATATCTTTGCTGTTGCTGTATATTGCCAGTACCAAATGATAACAAAGCACAATAAAAATATATTACACATAGAAAATAATATTTTCTCCTCCTTTGAGAAATGAATCTCACAGGAAAATCTGCCAGTATTGAGAGTGAGAATGATGGGAAATCCTGAAACATGCTAGAAGCAAGCAGAAAGCTAGAATAAGCAGCCCCCTCTAGACCTGTGTTGTTTCAAATCTAAAAGCCAGCATTTAAAGGTAGCTCCTTCCTTGTCCATTTAAAGTAAGGTAAACATCAGAAAGGGAGACAGAACATGGAAGACTCCTAACTCTGGGAAACGAACTAGGGGTGGTGGAAGGGGAGGAGGGCAGGGGGTGGGGGTGAGTGGGTGGCGGGCACTGAGGGGGGCACTTGACGGGATGAGCACTGGGTGTTATTCTGTATGTTGGCAAATTGAACACCAATAAAAAATAAATTTATTATTAAAAAAATAGAGTAAGGTAAACACAGAAGTCTCACTGCCACCACTGTCTCATGGGTCACAGATCCTCTCATCTCCCATTAAGGATCTTCTAAAATGAGTTAAAACAAAATTACCCCTTCACAAAGCTATCAGAGGTGCCTCCTGACTTCACTGCTGTCAAATTCTTTGCCTCTTTGATGAACACTTCCAGTATTCCTCCAGAGATTACAGGTGACTCCTTCTTCTTTCCCCTTTTGAAGGTCTTCTTTCCTGCATCTGCCATCAAAATGAGAGGGATGGAGTGAGAGGGAGGAAGAAGGGAAGGGAGAGAAAGGAAGAGAGAGACAGACAGAGAGACAGAGAGAGAGAGAGCATGGGTTCCATTTCAAAATTCAAAAAGAAGACCTGGCAAGATCTATTTCATCTGTGGACTGAATCAGGTCTTTGTGTTATTGTATATTTTTCCAGGGATTTATTTACATGTTCCTACTCTACTGGATTCCTTCTAGATGGTCTTTCATTTGCGTTTGTTGAAAAAAATAAATGAACACATAAATTTAAAACTTTAAATACTCCCCAAGAAGGAATATCTTTTTATTACAGGGTATGGAGGAACAAACTGGAAAAGACTCAGAGCTGCCTGAGACACATTCTTGCTCTCAGTGAGAAATAGCTACAGCGAAAGCCCCACAGAAGTGCCAAGACTCCAAAAGAGAAAATTTTGTAACTTCCTCTTTGGACATTTTAGTCTTATAAATTTAGAACTGTGCAAGGCCAGCTCTAAAGGCTATTCATAACTGAGGCACAACTACATTTTTTGAGAGAAAACTCTTCCTACGTCACATTTTTATTCTAATGAAATGTGCTCAACGTGAGTGATCACCACACCACCACCACCATCATGACCTTTATTCAGTACTGCTTTAAGCACTTTCTGTGACAAACTTATTTAATCCTTACGATATTCATACAAAGTGAGGAAATGGAGGCTGAGAAGTAGTAAATTACTTGCACAGGGTCACTCTGAAGAGACTGATAGTGAATGGAAGGATAAGAGGAGGCTATCTGAATTAGTTGATGGTAGAAGGCCAAAAGGGATTTAAAAGCTGACCCCATCTGGATTTTTCCCTTACATTCTGTGTTCTAGGTCAACTTCTTCCTCAAGACTTCCTGAGAAACTGTGAATGTCGTAAATCGATATAGAAGCTTTTCATACCTCTCCTCTCAGCAGACTGTATCCCTCCAGTCCTCCTCACTCCATCCTGGGGAAGATTCTATATCTCTTGAATTTCCAGGAAACAAACATCACCATTAAGCCTGGTTTCTAAGTATGAATTTTGTCCTTTACTTATAAAGATCCTGCACCCTTCCCCATACGTAGGTTATATTTCTCAACTCTCTTCAAAGACAGGGACACCCAACTCTTTACATTTTCATTTGTGTGACACAAAAGTAACATAGTCCAACCAATTCCCTCTCCCTGACCCCATACTTCGAGATGCAGAATGTCCTTGATCAAAGTCACTAATTTTTACTCTACCTTGAACTTGTCCTAGAGGAAGCATAAGGTTCTCCTCTGGGGGGATGTAACGTAAAGAAACTGTTAGCTCTCCTTTATAGTGCAGGCCTATGTCAGCAGCAAATTCCACCTGGCCAAAGGGAGACAGGCGAAAAGAAAAAGTGAGAATGCTTGGCTTATTATTTTGTAGCCCATGCTTGAATGGCTCTGTCATATTCACTTGCTGGCTTAAATATGACAATCCATTCCCATTCAACTATTCAACTTAAACTTCCTGGTTTAAGATATGCCTTAGGTACAAGAAGGGAGGGGTTGGAAAACTTTATGAAGGTATTTGTGTATAACTTTTAACATTAAAGTAAAAGGAATCTGAGAGGAGATACATGACATGTGTGGTCAGTCAGTAGCTACTGTGATGCACCGAGGACTGGAATCCATCAGTGAACAGATAGTTTGGTGTATGAGGCAGAAATAAAGATGCCACTAAAAATAGCTACAGAAGGTACCTCTCTCCCTGTCTGTTCGTGACATCTCCAGGCTTTCCTAAGTGACCAAGAGGAGGAAATAAGCAGTAAGGCTTGATTCACATTGGGCTGCCCAGCCACCAATTATTAAAAGCCATATTTGTAATTCATATGATTAAAATTCAATGTGGAGGGGTGCCTGGGTGGCTCAGTTGGTTAATCATCCACCTCTTTTTTTAAAAGATTTTATTTATTTATTCATGAGAGACAGAGAGAGAGAGAGAGAGGCAGAGACATTGGCAGAGGGAGAAGCAGGCTCCCTGTGCAGAGCCTGATGCGGGGCTCGATCCCAGGACCCTGAGATCACGACCTGAGCCAAAGGCAGACGCTCAACCCTTGAGCCACCCAGGTGCCCCTCAGCTCAGTCTTGACCTCAGGGTTGTGAGTTCAAGTCCTGCATTGGGCACCACACTGGGTGTGGAGCCTACTTAAAAAAAATTTCAATGTGGAAAAACTGGCTCACACATTGCTGGTGGGAATGAGAGGTGGGGTATTTATCCTTCCTCTTTGAATCTGAGTGGACCCTGTGATTGGTCTGACTAGTAGACCATGGCACAAGTGACAATGTGCCAGTTTCTGGGCCCCAACCCTAAGAATAACAGCTTCTATGTCCTCTCTTTGAATGAATATCCTTGGGATGCTTCTTCTGAGAACCCATGGTGTTAAGGCCCAAGCCACATAAAGAAACCACATGTAGGTGGTCTGGTTGGCAGTCCTAGCTGAATTCCCAGGAAGTGTGAGACAGACAACTTGAACAACCAGCCTAGTCAAACCTTCATACGACTACAGCCTCAGTCTACCATCTAGCCGCAACCACACAAAAGACTTTCAGTGAGAACCATCTAGCTGAGCCTAGTCACCCCACAGAATCATGAGCAATAATCAATTGTTTTAAGCTACTAAGGTTTAGAGTAGTTTTCTATATAATAGTTAACCAATATAGGCTTGATTTGCTTTTAGCTGGGAGCTTTGGATAGGAAAATATGTTGGTAGGAAAAAGTGAGGTGTACAGGCATCACATACTAACATGTATTAGCAGAGGTTAAAACATGCAATATTGAGATTAATGTTCCATTGGTATTTAAATTAAAATATACTGGCGACTTCTTATAAATACAGTCTTGAAATCTTGTGAGAGTAGGAAATAGTAAAGATGAAGTCTTGTAGCTTTACAATCGCACACAAAAGAAATTCAAGGGAAGGAGTTATCTTGTACATATCTCATGTCTTGGGATATTTTTGGTATTCCTGCAAGGAAATTCCAAGGCAATGTCATCTCCTGACATACCATCATATTACCTTATTTGACCACCTTTTGCTCAGAAAAAGGTAGAATTCAATTCAATTCAACTCATTCAATCCTACCAACACATATGGGATCCTTCTTATAGTAATGCTTTTAAGGCATTTTGCTAAGTGCTGTAGGGACACATGAGACATAGACCCTACTGAGTTTTCAGTCTATACAGGAGACATATATTCAATAGAAGCTCTATAAATCTGCTCTTATTTAACTGATTCATCAGATCAATGTTCTTCATCCCCAGTAAAAGAGCAGGATCCTCTATACAAAGACCATGCATGCCGACCCCTATAGGTGAACTATATGTTCACCAAAAGTCAGCTGCATTAGTCTCCCAGGTTCTTTAGGCCAGGCGTGTCTGCAGTTCTAATTATATAATTTATTTTTTAATTTTTTTCTAATTATATAATTTAACATCTATAAACTAAGAGTACAAAAAGACAGATACTAATATAAAAATTAAGCTGAATGCTTTATTTTTTTAATTATCATGGAATGGGATTTTTTTATAAAGATTTTATTTATTTATTCATAGAGATGCAGGGAGAGAAAGAGAGGCAGAGACACAGGCAGAGGGAGAAGCAGGCTCCACGCAGAGAGCCCTACGTGGGACTTGATCCTGGGTCTCCAGGATCATGCCCTGGGCTGCAGGCGGCGCTAAACCACTGCACCACCGGGGCTGCCCAAGCTGAATGCTTTAAAAGAATTAAGCATTTGACAATACATTTGCTATCAGATTATATTTGGGCTCAAAGCTGTAAAAGATTAGAAAACAAGCATGGATATTTAGAAAGCTTTTATATATGGTTGACTTTGAAAGCATTCTTAAGTTCTTATTGCACTTCAAGAAAGCTCAAACTAGAAACTATGGATTATAATGTACCAACGTCAGAATTTATGCCAGGAAATACGATAGAATTCTAAACCCTGAAACTATACTCAAATAAAATGGATTATCCCTGTATTAGAAGACTTGAAGATAAACACATATTTAAGTTAAAATAAATGATTATTTATTCACTGGAGGTGCATGTTTGTATGTGTGTGATTTCTGTGACTTTATTAACTGATCTACTACTGTAAGCTCAGTTCAGACACAGGATGACAGTTTCTCCAATACAGGTACAAAGAAACTACTGTGGGAAGAGAAAGAATAATCTAGATTGGGATAAGAGGTGGCCTTTGCATGCTGCTTAGAGGATGGGAGCTATGATGACTGATGAAGATGGGATGGGAAGAAGGTCAGTCTGGGTTAAGAAAGCAGAATAAGCAAAATATTTTTTTGTGGAGACTGTGTAAAATGTGTTTAAGGACTGGTAGGAAGTCAGGTGTGATTAGAAGTGTGTGCAAAGGAGGGTAGTAGCAAGGAAGACATAAACAAGGTTTCTACTCTGAGTTGCCCAGAAGACCCTAGGATACAAGTATATTTTACAGTGTTTTATTAGGAAGGAGAGTTGGGAAATAGGACCACAAATCGAAGGAGGCTTAACAAGGTTGTGATATCAGGCAAAGTTTTATGGTAACGTTTGCTCAGTTCCACAGAAAGAGCTTTGCAGAAAAAGATCACATCACAGAGAGCTGTCTCAACCAGAGACAAGGAAATGGCAGTATTTACGATGCTCCTTCCCCCATCAGGTGCTGATCAAGGGCTCTCCCATCCAACCCCAGAAAACTGAAATACTCAGGCTATTGTGGCTTTCCAGACCCACAGACCAGGCTGCTGATATGGGCCCATGGACCAAGCCCACATCAGCAGCCTGAGGGTTCCTCTCCTACAAAGATTGGCAGGTGTTGGCTGGTGTGAGTGAAAGCCAGGGGAAGCCATATATGCATGAAAATGGGGAGATGTGGGTAAAGCATGGACATGCTCCTCTGTTAAGAAGGCTGGGCCCTATCAAGGGAGCACTAAGCGGGATGCTTGTGTGGCTCAGTGGTTAAGAGTCTGCCTTTGGCTCTGGTTGTGATCCCAGGGTCCCGGCATTGAGTTCCACATGGGGCTCCCTGCAGGGAGCCTGCTTCTCCCTCTGCCTATGTCTCTCTCTGCCTCTGTGTGTCTCTCATGAATAAATAAATAAAATCTTTAAAAAAAGAGAGAGAGCATCAAGTTCCAGGATGATGGGTTAGAATTTATTCAAACCATATCCAAAAGCAGTAGGGAACCCCAGGGGGTATCTGACTGAGCAGGGGTGTGACATTATCAGGTAACACCATCATCTTCTGCTTTTTGCAAAGAGAGATCCACATTATATCATAGTTGGAAGCAGAGTTCCCAACACATTTACAAGTCTAAGGTGGGGTAATAAATTATGGACAAAAGTCTGCCCAAACTGCCAAATAAAGAGATAGTCTTTTAGCTCGGTAATAATTTCATAGGAATTTACATTTACTCTCTGCCTGAAGGCAGAACAGAGAAGATTTCCTTGGAAAACACTTGAGCTTGCTGTTGATTTTCAAAGGTCCTTGTTTTTATAATAGCACCTTCTAGAAAGACATGAAAGGCAATTCATACTGACAAGCCCTTCTTGTCTAACTACCTTATATGCCTTTCAGAAAGATAATGAGTTACAGCTAATAAACAATCTCATGTCATGCAGTGAAATGGAAGTTCTACTATGAAACTACTTGACAGTACATTTGAAATCTTGAGTTCTTTCTCCTCACTGGCTTAGTGCTGTAAGACTGAGCAAAAACAAAGACAGGTGTCAAGGGACGTTCACTAACACAGAGTCAATAAGATATAAGGCACTGTGTCTTTCCAGTAGTCCCACTGCAAAATGGTGTCAGTATTTCTGAATGCTTAAGGACTATTAATTAAGATCCTCTATCACTAAGGAAATTGGTCCCTGTAGCTTACACTTCACCTCCTCAGCTGGATAATCCACAAGAAGACATCAAGTCTCCAGGGCTGCTCATACTCTAGCTATAGCTGATGAGGTGACTACTGCCTTGAAGAGGCTGAGGCAGGAGACTGAAATGAAGCAACACTTGCCATAGTCAGTTGATAATCCACCACATGGAGCCCAGCTCAGCCTGAGGATGAGCCACCAATGAATAAGAGGCAGCCTACAAAGTATGTTGTACCTGCCCTCCTCATTTCTAGAAGGCATGGTGTTCAAATAAGGCAGAATCTGTGGGCTTTCCTCTATATGTGCCAGAGACACATATATGTGTCTACGTGTCATCTTTTCTCTTGGCAGAGAAAGATGACACAGATTAAAGACTAACCTATGTTGGGTTTCCCAGAAGCTCACTCTGAGGTGAGGATTCTTATGCCTAGGACTTATTAAGATTGCTCTCAGGAGGGTGCCTAGGTGGCTCAATCAGTTAAGTGTCTGCCTTTGGCTCAGGTCATGATCCTGGGGTCCTGGGATAAAAACCCACGTGGGTTCCCTGCTCAGCAGGGGAGTCTGTTTCTCCCTTTCTCTCTCCCCCTGCTTGAGTGCTCGCTTGTGCTCTCTTAAACACATACATACATACATACATACATACATACTTAAAAAAAAAAGAATTGCTCCCAGGATAGACTAGTTAAGGGGTGATCAGGAAAAAGGTCAGGGAAGGGAGGAAGCCAGGCAAGGAGATGGCCTGATCTGGTAGAGAAGCTGTAGAGTATAAGTAGTACCTTGGAGCACCAACCCCCTTAACCCACCCCTCTCCATACGGGAACTATGCTTTCATACTCCCCCATCTATCAGTTACTGGCAAAGGGTTGCCTTGTAGTAGGTAGTACGGAAGTTTCTGGGAGCTTCTGACTCCCTGCTCATGGAAAAAGCTACAGTAGCCCCAGCACAGTCTTCTAAACAGAGTTTCAGGTGAGAGCTGTTGGAGGCAAAACTCCTAACAGTCATGGTTTAAGGAGTCCAAGGGGACCTGGCAGAGGCCCGAGGAGTTCCAGACATTAAACACAGTCTGAACTTTTTGACCTGGAGCAGCCTCAGAGTTGCTTCTCCTTTAGGCTAGAAAGTGAAATCATTCAACGGCACTGTGAAGGTGATTACCATGGAAAGTCGTTGGTCCCTAAGCACAGAGGATACACCTGGGAGAGCTCAGATACCATCTGAGCAAGTCCTTCAACCATTTCCAGGAAACTGACTGGAACTCTCCAAGCTGTTTTCCAAAAAGCCCGTATGTGCTTTCACGTTAAATTTAGGACAGACAAGTTAATTTTATGTACTAAAATGAATTACTTGTCCTTCACCTGTATCATGCATCATACAATGTCTTGGATGTTTTCTTTTCCTTAGTTTTAAAGATTTTATTTATTTATTCATGAGAGACACAGAGAGAGGGGCAGAGACACAGGCAGAGGGAGAACAGGCTCCTAGCAGGGAGCCCGATGTGGGACTCGATCCCAGGATCCTGGGATCACGAATTGAGCCAAAGGCAGACACTCAACCACTGAGCCACCCAGGTGCCCCTCTTGGACATTTTCTAACTATGATTCTATTGTGCTCACCCATTACACACAAAAGGAAGCAAGTGATAGGAGACTGTTAAGTCAGATTAAGTGGTATCCTTCATGGTAAGGCTCTTCATTCAATTCCAAGAGACTCTGTGTTATAATGACCAATTATTTCCCATTCTTAATGTCAGGGAATGTTATTCTATTGTGGACTTATTTCTTGTGACTATTGTACTTCCTCTTTCATATTTATATTAGTCATGGGCTTACAGTTATTTTATGTTTAAGGACTTTTTATATTTTATTGCTAATTTTACCCACAGCCCAGTTATACTTCCCAAAGATTTTCCATGAGTTATTTACACCAAGCTTGAGGTCAATAGTTATAAAACTCCACTGGAAAATTGTATTTAACTTCTGAGTCTTGATCTCCTTAGGCACACTGGAAGTGATGATACTTAACTCACCATGTTTGTTGTACCATCAGCTATGAACAATGCTGTTACGGATGGTGAACAACACGTGTTTTGCTGTCTAGCTTCCACTCAGCATTCCTTTAGAACTACTATACCTGGATTTCTTTGGGGGCAGTATTACCTTCAGGACCAGGGTACGTTCTGATTATCTTAAGTCAGCCAATGTATCTCACCTCCCTGGCTGGCCATGGCAATTAGTTCAGGATACGCAAATGATGTAATCACAATGAGGAGAACCAGGCCCAGGGCACTGGGTGGACTGCTGGAAGAGAAAGACATTTTTCCTCTCCTGGACAGTGTGGTGCAAGGAGGAGAGGCTTGCAGGTATTATAGTCTCCAAGAGAATCATACTGGAGCTAGTGAGGGAGGCCAGCTGCACAAAGTCTTGAAAATGAAGGCAACACAGAGAAGAGAGACCAAGGGAGTCCGGGGCCTTGGTAAGATTTGAGTTACTTGGGTAAAGCCGTGCTTGATAATCACTGGCCAATAATTTCCTTTTATTTTGTGAGCTGTATGAGCTGGGGTTTCTGTCAATTGCGATATAAGGACTCTTGTCTATGATGTAACATAAACACCACCTAGCATTTATTGAGAGCTTAAGATGTGCCTGATACAATAATGTGAACATCACAGAGTGTTTCTGCGAGCTTCACAATGTCCCAGTAAGATATGTCCAATTATTATACAACACATGAGAACAACAAAGCCTAGGAACTTAAGTAATTTGCCCAATGTCACACAGACAGGATTGAAGCCAGGATTGAACCCAGAGAGTCTGATTTGACTCTACTATCTTCCCCTCATATTTTTTTTTGCCTGTGTATAAAGAGCAATGTTAAAAAAAAATAAATAGCAATCTTTGGTTACATAAATGTGACCTTTTTTCATCCCCCTTTTGACTTAAAAAATTACTATAAATGTAGAGTGGCTCCAGTTGAATAAAGTGAATCCAAGCTACTGTTGATCTAGTTCAGAACATGCTATATTGCATTTAATTTCTACGACCAGCTTTAAGATTGTTTTTCTGAATATAACTTCAGACCTGGCTTATGAATCTCAAAAGTAGGAATATAGGAAACCAGACACTTTAGTTATTGGTTACTTCCTCATGTGAGCCAAGGCAAGAGCACTCCTGTTTAGGTTTGAATTGTGAAGAATGGGGAATCGAAAGAATGTTTTAAGACTGACTGGCTCTATGGATTTGTTTTTGCTTTCTCTTTCTGATAGGATCATATAATTTCTGATAGGATCATATCAGGTATTCCTTTTTTTTAATCCATGGAAACCTTCAGATGATGAGTGCATTTTTAGTAAGTCAAATTAATAATATATATGACTCTGTGACTTGCATTATACAGTATTAAAAAAGGAGTTTCAAGGAAAGGACTTAGATTTATTATATTATTCCAAAATTGGCTGCACTAATCTGCTCAGATTACTTCTTGAAAATTGGAAGTCTTCAGATCCTTCAGGCCTATGACATCAATTTTGTGCATAACTTGTCTCACTGCACAGCTGTTTGATTAATCTGGAAGCATTTCCTACCTTGGGCTGAAGCACAAACCACTCATCACTTGGATTTTCAAAGTTCCATGAGTCAAAAGGAATCTCCACCTCCCCAAGGAAGCTGTTACGTCCAAATCGATCATAATGCCAGACTGAGAGTTGTAGAGTTCTTGTTTCCAGCTGGGTATGGCTGATGGTATACTGCAAATGAGATTCACAACATCACACACTCCACTCTGCCCGGTTCTACAACAGGCTGAAATTTGCCTTCATCATATTCCAGATTATATGCATTAGTAATATGAACAAAGCAAACCCCCAAAACATTGTAGTTTTCTTTGTTTATGCTACAACTGAGGTTCTAGAGATGGCATAAACTCATTTTGTGTTAGACCTAGCACTGAAATATATATTAGCAAATTATTTAGGAAAAAAGTCAATAAACATCAAATATAATATAAAAAGTGTTAGATAATGAAGAATGTCCCCTTTCCAGTTTTACCTGTTTTTCATCTGCTAGTCATTTTTCAACATCTACTTTGTAAGCTTAATGTCTGATATATCAACTTGCCAACTTCTCTGTCTTACCTTATTTATAATGAGAATCTCTAAATCCAGAAAAGTACTGTCAGTGAGAAACTTCATAAAGTCTAGTATAAGTGCAGGAGTGAATAGACAAATACATAGATTGACTAGAAAGAAAATATTGCTGGGGTAGCTTTTCCTTTTCAGCAGAACATGATCCACAGCGACATGCCTATACACCCTCAAATCTCCTGCTTGTTCTATGCATCTACCACCTGAGACACACTTCAGAGTGTTTCTTGATCTTGGATTTGCATCTATACCCATCCTTGCTGTTCCTGGCATGACTGACCTTGGCTTCCTCCTTCCTGAATTTGCCATGTCACTCTATATATTCTGCTTGGGCTCATTTTTGCTACCTTGTTATAACCACCAGATTCACCCCCTGCCTAAATTCATTCATTTTCATTTTGATCTGTCTTCATATTGGTTCCTGCTTCTAAACAGGACCGCAATGAAGGCTATCCCCACTCACCACCTTCCTGCTATGATGGACTCTGACTCCATCACTCCAGGCACAAGGTTCATAAATTTCCCTGCAACTGGCATTAATTTCTACATTCTAGTCTTCCCAGATCTTTCTTACCAGGCTAAATTGGTCCAGGGTGAGAGAAGGGGTTGTTACATAGAAACCTATGGGGAAAGTAAGGTCAACCAAAGATTGCGGCCTGGATCATGTCTTACCAGGGCCACTTTCTCTGAGGTTCCCCAAATCCAACCTTGTCTCACCACTGTTTATTAACCACAAGCCTAAATTTAGCCCAATTCTGAAACGTGACAAGAAACAGCACATATTCATGCTCTGTTAGCAGAACGAGGAGTGTATACAGAGTGATTTGCTAAGTCAGTGTCAAAACTGTGACAAACTCCTTTTAAGGATTTTAAACTAGAAAAAAATAGTTTTCCTAAGGGTGAAACATTTTTTGACAAGACGCACTGGCTCAGATGAAATTTCACTTGATCATCTTTACTTAAGGTGTAACTTTAGCTGCAGCAGAGAAACAAACAGAATAAGGGTTTACAGCTTTTTCTTTTCAAAGAACTATTAAGAAAGCCAAGGGTATTACACTAATTTATTCAAATTCTACTTTTCTGAAAGATATGTAAGCCTGGACACACAAACCCTCTGTAGTCAATTTTAATTTTAAACCAATGAAGGCATGAACAGTATCACTTGAGTTAATATGAGAGAGCATGTACTTACCTTTAGTGTTTCGTTAAATTCTGGATTGGTGCCTGTTCTGATCTTGGTCTTGCGCTTATTGTTTCTGGACTTGTCAGGAAGAAGGTATGACTTAACATAACTGTAGGTGATAAGACATGAAATTAATTATTGGGAAACATCTACTCCACAAGGAATAGTCAGGGACTTCAGTGAACAAGAGAGGTGAAGGGAATAGGCCAGGAAACATTAGAGAACCAAAGAGAATGTAGTCTATCTAGCAGGATACCTTAAAATAGAACTCTGGGCTTCCAATAAGAGAGAAGCAGTATAGTGATGAAGAGTGTGGGCTCTGACATCAAGCCAACTGTGCTTGAATTACTCCATGCCTCACTGGTTTTGGTAAATTCAAGAACTTACTTAACCTCACTGTGCCTCAGTTTCCTCATCTGTAAAACTGGGATAATAACAGTATCTAACTTAGGGCACTACAAGGATTAAACTGGTTGATACATAAGGGAGCTGACATTATACGACTCAATAAATGTCATCTATTCATAGGATCAATGGTCTCACAAAATACTCGAGGGTTATATTGCTCTCCATTCAGATGTCAGGACTTCTGATGACTGGAATCAGTGGTTATAGACAAATGGAGGAAAATGGTGAAAAAGAACAAATAGGAAATAACAACTCAGTGTCACAATAACAATTCTACCCAACACCTTGTGTTGAGCTATCCCAGGAACCTCTTGGAGCAGGGGTATCAAGGCAGATTTAGAAAGTACAAGATGTACAAGACTTCAATGGACAAGATGCTACAAAAGTTGCTGTGAAGCACATATACCAGGGCTTTAGAGGACCTCTTTCCATGCTACCCTAAATGATTGGTCCTGGGACGCCAGGGTGGCTCAGCAGTTGGGCAGCTGCCTTTGGCCCAGGTTGTGATCCCGGATCCAGGATCGAGTCCCGCATCGGACTCCTGGGAGGAGCTTGCTTCACCCTCTGTCTCTGCCTTTCTCTCTCTCTCTGTCTCTCATGAATAAATAAATACATCTAAATAAATAAATAAATAGATAGTCCTAAAGCCCTCTGATACGTAGCTGAGGAAGTAGATGGATCAATCTATACTCAGAATCCACTCATTTGTCTATCTTTTTAAAAAAATTTTTAATTTTCTAAGTAATCTCTATGCCCAACATGGGGCTTGAACTCACAACCCTGAGATCAAGAGCCACACACTCCACCAACTGAGCCAGCCAGGTGTCCCACTCCCATTTTGCCTATCTTTAGACACTTGGAAAAAGCTTCTCTGAGGTGTTTATTGGACCTAGGTCACCTACTATGGAGGAAAAGGGTAAGACAGCAGGCCTCAGATTGCCTGGAAATGCCTGCTTACAACATTAGCCAGTGGCTGGGATCTGGGAACTTGGATTTCAGGAGGATTCTCATCACTCCCAGAACAGATATAAATGGCTCACTGTGACTAAACTATTTGTAAAAATAATAATGGCTTATGTAGAACATTGGCTTTCCTTCAGGGAGACTGGAATTTTGGTATGTGACCAGTTGAGTCTCTAAATGAGCTTCCCTGGTAAACAACATTGCACAGGTTGCTGGAGGAATTAAGTACATCCTGTGCGACTCCGTTGGGAGTTTAGACGTTTAAGCCTAGATTCTTCAGAACTTAGCCACACATGCCTTTTTCCTTTGCTGATTATGACTACATGTGGAGTCCTGTGAGTCCTCCTTGTAAATCATCAAGCCTGACAATGATCTTGGGAACCCCTGACACATCTTTCATCTAGCTCCCTTCCAATGTTACCACACACAGTCAATTATCTGCCTCCCAGTAGATATCTGGAAGCCTGAGAGCCTTAAAATTGTCCTTTCGAGCTGTTCAACTGGGCTAACAGCTTGGTGATTTTCTCTGGAGGGTCTTCCAGAACTAGATCCTCATAGATCCTGGGGTGCGCCAATGTGCCAGCCAGCCTCTATCTCAGAGCTGCCTCTGTGTAAACTACAAATATGTCAGTCCTGAATCACACTGACTCATAGCTCTTTACAAATTAGATAATCATGGACGCAGCCATTATACATACACTTAGAGAATATTTAGAAGTGTTGCACGGGAGAAAAATCACAACCTTCTGAGAAAGTTCTGAATCAAGAGGAATGCTAAGACAAAACCACACATATTGACAAAGAAAGCAGTGACTGAAACAGTCTGAGGAATGTGCTATGTGCTTACGCATCTGTCCTCTGTTTCTTTTCATCTCCAATGGCCAGATTTCTGCAATTCTTGACAAAAATGTAGAGCCCGCCAGTTTTGTAGCAGTAACTGATGTGGAGAAGGATTTCACCACTGACCTTCACGTTGCCATAGTCTCCTGTTTCACTGTAAACACTCATCATGCTGTTAAGGCTGGTCTGGAATAAACAAGATGAGAAGAGGTGCCCAGTGTTATTCTAATTAGCTCTTCACAGAAGCCACCCCCCACCCCCCCACCCCCCACCCCCGCTTTATTCAATTACTATTCTTATTCTTTATAATCAGCAGGAAAGTCTAGGGTGAGCAAAGAAAGCAAAAATCACTTCTTTTGCCTGAGTTGCTGGTATTGTATAAACTCCAAACCTGACAAGGGACAAGAAGACTTAAAGAGCATTGGTAAGGAAGGCAGGAAACTTGCTGAGAGGGGAAGCACTGCCTTTCTGGGCAAGTGAAGAGTTTTTGTTTATTCACTTCTAAAGAATACAGGGTCACTGAGGCACTTCCAATCTCCCGTCTTCTCCCTATCCTTGTAGCTTCTGCCTCTCTCACTGGCAGATCCAGACCCAAGGTCAATCTACGTCAAGGTCTAGAATGCATCCATCGGGTCAAAGAGAAGCTCATATATTCTGTGCTAGCAGGAACCACAGAGTTCTCTGACACCCACAGAGGGCATCCCATCAGTCTCTGGGAAGGCATAACTAGCTTTAACGAGGGCATGCCAGGAGAACAGCATACACCCTAGGTTGCTGTGACTTCCCTGAGCAGCTATTGTGGTCACATGGGTAGTGCTCAGACCTGGGCTTTGTAGACCTCTATAAAATAACCACTCCCAAAATAGAACACTAAACAATAAGTGAACACACCAACAAATAAAATGTAAAAAAAACAAAAAAACAAAAAAAACCCAACAGTCCAAATCTACCAGAATGAATACAATTCCTGATTAGACACTAATGACAAGAGGCATATTTTAAATCAAATGTAACAAAATTATCCTTTAGTGCCAAAACTGTATCTTAGCAACACGACTGTCAAAAGAGACCACGCTCGGAAGGCTTTCATGAGTGACCCAATAGTTTCAAAAGCCCTGTCTGTGAACCACTGGGAAGGACTAGATTAAGTACAAAGAGAGCCTGGGCTTCCCACTTTGTGTGATATGCAGAGCGGAAGTCACTACATTCTTTTGGGTGTTCAGAGACTGATCAAAGAACAGGATTTGGGTGATGTGGCCAGTATCTCTTCTAAATTTAAGTCAAGGGCAAGAGTAAACCAAGAACTCCATAATTACTTAAAAATTATCATTTCTAGTGAGCCAGAGAGTGATCTAATTTGTCTTTCCCATTCCTAAAACAAAACAGAATTTTCTTTATAATATGTGGCTTTGAGCAGTGCTTTTCAAACTTTAATTGCACAGAAATCACCTGGGGATCTTGTTAAGATGAAGACTGATCCAGTCAGTCTCAGGTGGGGTCCGAGAATCTTCTTTTCTAACAAACTCCTAGGTCCACAATCTCCAAAATGTGTATTGTGGCATCCCAGAGCACTGCAGCAACTCACAGGGGGACCATAGGGTATTTTAAAATTTCAAGGGAAAACACAGTGACCATCCATCAAACACCATGCAAATTATTAACAGTTGTTCATGGTGTCAACATTAAATCACAATTCATTCTTTTAAGTCCTATCTGGGTGAAGCTGAGTTTTTGAGAGTTGCTGTGAAAAAATAAGTAGGTACTGCATAAAAATCAATGTGGAGGGGAGCCTGAGTGGCTCAGTTAAGCATCTGCTTTGGCTCAAGTCATGATTCCAGGGTCCGGGGATCAAGCCCCACATCAGGGTCCCTGCTCAGCAGGGAGCCTGCTTCTCCCTCTCCCTCTGCTGCTCACTCCTGCTTGTGCTCTCTATCAAATAAATAAATAAAATCTTTAAAAAAATCAATGTGGAACAAGAAGTAAAAGTGGTGCTGTCCAATTGGATTCCCATATCTAACGAGTTGTGAGCTGCCTAACAGGCACCTGAGTCCCATTAGTAAGGATTAAGGGCTGTTTAAGAATGGAAGAAAATGATTTTTCTTTCAATTTATGTATTATTGTTTTGTATGTCTACTAAGTTGTTAGGATATTAGTCCTTATAAAATTTTTTGACCTAACTGATGTGGAAAACAAAGGCAAAAGAAATATAGAAAAAAATTAATATCCTTTGCAGCCCACTGACAAATACTTATGACCTTGCCCCAGGAACTCAAGAATCTCAATGTTAATACTTTTGCTAAAGGCAAAAGGCAACCTTAACTTGACATTAGCCCGACCTCCAGGATCCTGTAAGTCTTCTTTAATATGTAAAAATCCCTTTGGAAACTTCCTTTACCTGTATGAGTCCCCAAGACCCATGTCAGCAGTCATCCTCCAAGCACATGGCCTGCTGATATACATCTCAAGGGTCTCGTGACTAAGGTTTTACTAGACAGCAATAAATGACCTTGTCCTAATAGCAGCTAGCCCAAGGTCCTAGAAACCTGGCTTCCAAATTCCTTAGAGACTTAAGCCCTCCCCAACCCCCTCTCAACTTGAAAGTATATAATCAGTCACTCCTCACAACCCCAGGGCAGCTCTTTCTGCACACAGGTCCTGTCCCCAGGCTTTAATAAAACCACCCTTTTTGTACCAAAGACACCCCAAGAATTCTCCCCAAACCCCAACATTTCACACCACTAATTACTTAATAAATGGGTTAGTCAGGTATTACTTTTGGCTCAGGAGTGGGATGAAAGAATCACTAGGGGCTCTGTGAACTGACAAAGTGTTAGAGTCTCGCCCCAAGTGAGGCAATGCTGCCTTTGACTTCCAAGGGCTTCAAGAATAAGCTACTCCCTCAGGTTACATATGAGAAAACTGACTCACAGAAATTACTGGCAGTTCTAAGACACAGAGCAAAGTCTCTAGATTTTTTGCTGAGGATCTCCCCAGCATGCCTCCCCACCTCCTCATATCACTAATTTGTGTCTACACCACATCCCTCAGTAGCCACATCTTCAAAGCAGTCCTCAGTAAGCAGAGGGCCCCGACAGAGAGAAGAAAATTTAAGAACCCATAAATGCTGAAGTGTAGGAGAAGTTCAGGCAATTAAGGCAATTTTGCTACTAACCAAATTTTATGCTCTTAACCGAGCAAATGTTGGGATTTAAAAGAGAGATGTTTATTCTAAAGGTATCTCATTAATGGTAAGTCATTTTGAACCATATGTCTTTTGACTGGCACTCAGATTCTAATGCTGAATGAAGTTTTCTTTCCTTGGGATACTTGGATTCTGGTAGTGTTGTTTACCTTTTTTAAAAAAATATATTTTATTTATTTATTCGAGAAACAGATACAGAGAGATGCAGAGACACAGGCAGAGGGAGAAGCAGGCTCCATGCAGGGAGCCCAATGCGGAACTCGAACCCGGGTCTCCAGGATCACGTCCTGGGCTAAAGGCGGCACCAAACCGCTGAGCCACCCAGGCTGCCCTGTTTACCTTTTTAAAAGAGAAACTCTGGTTAACTGTATACAAGTCAGAAAAAGGTAAATGCTGGAAAAACTGCCCACCTCATCAGATTTCCCCTACCATGAAATGTGCAAAGTATGGCTGGAAAGAAGGAAAAGGAAAGACTGAAAACTCACAGTGTCTGAGTCAGCATCAGGTACATTTAGGTAGGTCCACTTCCTGTCAGAGCCTGCTTGAGAACTCTTTAAGACAGTCGCCCAAAGGTCAAAAGGAAAAATGGGTATTAGAGCAAAGAACAGAAATCAGAGGAGCAAAGAAAAAAGTTTACAGGCATATATGCATGCAAATGAGTATGAGAACATGGGGGCTCCTAACACCTACCTCTCAAGCAAAGCCTTGAACATGGACATAAGAAGAGACATTATTCTACAGGCAGTGAGAAGCTATGGACAGTGTCTGAGTAGCAAAGAAACCTGACTAGGTATGTATTTTCAGAAAATGGCCACAGCATGGTGGACAGTTGGGAAATAAACAAAGTGGTGGCAGGCAAATAAATATATTGGCAGAGAATTGTGATAGTCTATAGGTCTGAGTTGATGAGAGCCTGAATGAGGGAGTAAAGAGGTTTTAAAAACTGTGTGAGAACCATGGAAGGAGAGAGAAGGAAAAGCTCACACAAAATTACAACAAAAAGCACTCTGTGGGCAAAGGGCAAGCAGATTATAATGACTCTTGACTCACTGTCACACATATTCTCAAGAACATTCCAATCTCCTTGAGAAAAAGTCCCAAAAATCAACAAGAGAAAGAATAAACTTCTAGTTATGTGCTAGAGAACTACTTACGGTTGACAGGCCACTTGCTAGACTGTGGGTGTTTGCAGAAAACCTGGAGGACACTAAGTCATTAACACCTTCCTCGGTCTCTTCCAAGGAGTCCTTCCAAGGAAGGAGGAGAAAATCAGTGGATCACTTTTTTAAAAAAATACTTGAAAAATCCGATACAAATATCTAGAAATCATCCTATCCTGAGGTTTTTCTCTCTTGCTATCCACTCAACCTGAATTATGCCATCAGACGAGTGGGGTCTCCTTAGTGGTGTTTGCTTTACAAAAAGAACGTGAAATTTGGAATCACATAGACCTGGGTGTTCAATTTCTACCTCCCTGGTCTCTAAGCTTTGGGCAATGTACTTAAATTATTTTTTAATTTTAAAAAAAAGGTGTCTGTGCATGTATGCGTGCATGTGTGTGCATGCATACTGTCAAGATGGGGAAACAGATCTTAAAAATCTGACAGAGTAAACTATTTCAGACACTGAATTCTTGTCCAAAATGCCAGATTCTAATTTCTTCTCTTTCATGATAGAGTGGCTTCCCCTGCCCATCCCCCTGTTGGTTATTTAACCAATACATTTTTATAGTAACAAATGTCAAGCAATAGAGATAAATAGAAATCAAACTTAGATCTCTCACTACTAAGTTAATGACCAAATTTCAAAGTTCTAGGATATGTACACACACATGCCTACATATGCAACCACACATATAAGGAATATATCATGCATGTTTTTTTTTAAAAAAAGAACACGTTTCTTTTTTGCTTCTCCTTTCCTCTCTTTGTTTCCTCTCACCCCAGGTTAAATCAACATTTTACATATAGATTCCGTGCATTTCTCCTTGTTTATGTGAAAAATCATATAAAATTCTGCACACACAAATCTGGGCGGGCATCATAAGAATTTCTTTTAACCTGTTTTATAAATTGAGATTATTCTATATATTTAATTCTGTGCTTTGGAGTAAAAATTAATTTTATTATAAAATATGACACACATAGAAAGGTGCATAAAATAAAAATGGACAGCATAACAGTATAAAGTAATCAAGTAGAAGCCCCCTTTGTGTTCTGTCCATATCACCAACCCTTTTCTCCCCCATCTTTGAAATAAAATCTTAACTCTTATGGTAACCACATCTTTGCTTTTCTGTATACTTTTACTACCTAAGCATACATTCCTAAACAATGCGATTTTGTTTTGCCTGTTTTTGAACTTTATGTAAATGAAATTAAATGTTATATTCTTTTGTGTTTTGCCTCTTTGTCTCAACATGATAGTCTTTTAAGAGTCATCCAAATTGTTTCATATTATTGTAGTTTGTTCATTTTTATTCATTATTCAGTGGTATGCTATCTTACACTTGATTTATCCATTCTTCTGTTGCTGAATATTTGGGCTGTTTCCAGATTTTTTTCTATCATTAGTAAAGCTGCTAAGAATATCTTTTAGTATATACCCTGAGGCAGAGAAACACAAGCTTCCCTTCGGCGGAATTGGCACGCCACAAGGAGTGCATGTCTCCACAGGGTTACCGATAACTATTTTAAGATAATGTCAAGCAATTGGAAGTAATTGTACCAATTTATAGTCTAGCCAGCAACGTAGAAGAGTGCTCTCTGCTCCATATCCTTGCCTCCCAAAGGTTAGTATTGTCAGATTTTTTTTTCACTTTTGCTAATCCAGTAGATGTTTATGTGAAAATTAGTAAGGGGAAGCCTCTCTGAAATGGAGTTGGGAGGTTTCAGCATGGGAAGCTCTCATACCCTACCACTCACAGTCAATTGCAAATACAACAGGAAGAGATGAACTTGACCTTATGTAGACTTGACCTTATATATGGATATTACTCTTCTATTCCAGCTGGAGGTGGGGTCACTTTTCTCATCCCCCAGGGTAACAGCTCAGCCAATGTGAAGCCATCACATTTTGAACTCCCAGTTTCCTCATGGACTTAAAGTTCATAAAAGCTTTCCCAACTTACCCCTTTGCTCCTTAAGAAAGCATGACTCTCCTTTGTTCCCCAGCCTTGCCTATGGTTTTGCCATGGCTTGTTGGTCCCAGATTGCAATTTTCTTTCATTCCTGAATAAACCCATCTTTTCTGGTAAAATGTGGGACTTGATCCCAGGACCCCAGTATCATGCCCTGGGCCAAAGGCATGCACTAAACTGCTGAGCCACCCAGGGATCCCCGGCATGCAGTCTTTTTGTTACTGGACTTATTTTTCTAATACTTTATAAAGGGTTTTTCATCTATATTCTTAATGGATATTATTCTGTAGTTTTCTTGCAACGTCTTTCTCTAGCTTTGGTGTCAGGAAAATACTGGCTTCACAAAACGAGTTGGGAAGTAATTTTCTGAGAAATCTTATGAAGAATTGATATTATTTCCTTTTAAAATATGTGATAGATTTCATCAATGAAGCAATTTATTCCTCAGTATTTCTTTAGGGGAAGATTTTAAATTACTAATTCAATATCCTTTGTTTTTAAATTGATTTGAGAGAGAGAGAGAGAGAGAGAGAGAGAGAGAGAGAGAGAGAATGAGAATGAAGTGTGGTAGGGGCAGAGGGAAAGACAATCTCCAGCAGACTCCCTGCCCAGCATGAAGCCTAGTGCACAGCTCAATATCACGACCCTGAGCTCATGACCTGAGCTGAAATCAAGAGTCAGATGCTTAACCAAATGAGCCATCCAGACACCCAGTCTAATTCAATATATTTTTTAAGTATAATTAACATACACTGATATATTAGTTTAAGGTATATGATATAATGACTCAACAATTCCATAGGTTTCTCAATGCTCAGCAAGTTAAGTGTACTCTTAATCTCCTTTATTTTATCCATCCCCCAATCTCTATCTGCTTTGGCAATCACCGGTTTGTTCTCTGTATTTATAGATCTAATTCTGCTTTTTGTTTATTCTTTTTTTGGTTCCACATATAAGTGAAATCATATGGTATTTGTCTTTCTTGGACATATTTCATGTAAAATTATATGCTCTAAGTTCTACCATGTTGTTGCAAATGGCAAGAATTTATTCCTTTTTATTGCTGACTACTGTTCCATTGTATATATATATACCACATTTTCTTTATGTACTCATCTATGGATGGACACTTAGACTGCTTCAATATCTTGACTATTGCAAATAATGCAGCAATAAATATAGGAGTGCATATATCTTTTCAAATTAATGTTTTTGTTTTATACCCTGTAGTGGAATTACTAGATTATATAGTAATTCTATTTGTAATTTTTTGAGGACCTGTCATACTGTTTTCCATAAAGGCTTCATCAATTTGCATTCCCACCAACAGTGGGAATGAGGGTTCCTTTCTCTCCACATCCTCAGCAACACTGGTTATTTCTTGTTTTTTTGAATCTAGCCATTCTGACAGGTGTGAAGTGATAGCTCATTGTGGTTTTAATTTGCATTTCCCTGATGTTTAGTGATGCTGAGCATCTTTTCAAGTGTCTGTTGGCAACCTGTATGTCTTCTTTGGAAAAATGTTTATTAAGGTCCTCTGTTCACTGTTTAATTGGATTGTTTTTCCCCCAGTGTTGAGTTGTATAACTTCTTTATATATTTTGGATATTAACCCCTTCATGGATAAATCATTTGCAAATATCTTCTATTATTCAACAGGTTGCCTTTTTTTGTTGTTGATGGTTTCTTTTGTGGGACAAAAGCTTATTTTGGTGGAGTCCCAAGTTTAATTTTGCTTTTGTTTCCCTTGCATGAGGAGACACATCTAGAAAAATGTTTCTACAGCTGATGTGAAAAAATTACTGTTTTTTTTTTTTTGCTAGAAGTTTTATGGTTTCAGGTCACACATTTAGGTTTTTTCATCCACTTTGAGTTTATTGTTTCATGTGCTGTAAGAAAGTAGTCCAGTTTCATTCTTTTGCATGTTGTTGTCCAGTTTTCCCAGCATCATTTGTTGGAAAGACTGTCTTTTACCTCTGCACATTCTTGCCTCCTTTGTAATAGATTGACCATGTAAGCGTGGGTTTATTTCTGGACTCTATATTCTGTTCCATTCATTTCTGTGTCTATTTTTGTCACTACCATACTGTTTTGATGATTAGAGCTTTATAGTACATCTTGAAATCTGGAGTTGTGATACCTTCAGTTTTGTTCTTCTTTTTCAAGATTGCTTTGGCTACTCGGGGTCTTGGGTGGTTCCAATATGAATTTTAGGATTATTTGTTCTAGTTCTGTGAAAAATGTTGTTAGTATTTTGATAGTGATTGCATTAAATCTATAGATTGCTTTGGGTAGTATGAACATTTTACAATATTTGTTCTTCTAACCCATGAGTGTAGAGTATCTTTCCATTAGCTTATGTCCTCTTCAGATTCTTTCATTACTGTTTATATAAGTATTCAGAGTATAGATCTTTTACTTCCTTGGTTAAGTTTATTATAGGTATTTTATTCTTTTTGGTGTAACTGTAAATGGGATCATTTTATTAATTTCTTTTTGCTACTTATTAGTGTACAGAAATGCAACAGATTTCTGTGTACTAATTTTCAATCCTGTAACTTTACTGAATTCATTTATCAGTTCTAGTAGTTTTTTGGTGGAGTCTTTAGGGTTTTCTATACACAGTATCATGTCATCTGCAAATGGTGAAAGTTTTACTTCTTCCTTACCAATTTAGATACCTTCTGTTTATGTTGCCTGATTGTGGTGGTGAGGACTTCCAGTACTATGTTGAATAAAAGTGGTGAGAGTGGACATGCTTGTCTTCTTCATGACCTTAGAGGAAAAGCTCTCAAGCTGATGTTAGCTCTAAGTTTTTTCATATATGGCCTTTATGTTAAGAAATGTTCCCTCTAACCCCCCTTAGTTCAGAGTTTTTATTATGGATATTGTACTTTGTCAGATGCTTTTTCTATATCTACTGAGATGATCATACTTTTTCCTTTCTCTTGTAAATACAATGCATCATGTTAACTGATTTGTTAATATTAAACCACCCTTGCATCCCTGGAATAAATCCCACTTGATGGTGGTGAATAATTTTTTAAATGTATTGGTGGATTTAGTTTACTAATATTTTTTGAAGATTTCTGCATCTATGTTCAACAGAGATATTGGCTTACAGTTTTCTTTCTTCATCGTGTTTTTATCTGGTTTTGGTATCAGCATAATGCTGGCCTTGTAGAATGAATATGAAAGTTTTCTTCCTCTTCTATTTTTTGGAAATTTTGAGATGAATAAGTATTAACTCTTCTTTAAATATATGGTAGAACTCACCTGTGAAGCCATCTGGTCCTGGACTTTTGTTTGATGGGAGGTTTTTGATCACTGATTCAATTTCATTGATACTAACTGGTCTGTTCAAATCTTCTATTTCTTCGTGATACTGTTTTGGTGTTAAAGTCCTTTCACTTTTGTTTCTCTAAAAAACTCTTTATATATTTTTCAATTCTGAGTAACTTTGCTGGGTATTCTTAGTTGTAGTTTTTTTTTTTCTCCTTTCAGCACTTGGAATATATCATGCCACTCCCTTCTGACTTGGAAAGTTTCTGATAAAAAAAACTCAGGTGATAGCCTGAGATGGAGTTTCCCTTGTATGTAACTATTTTCTCTTGCTGCTTTTAAAATTCTCTATCAGTATTTTTTGCCATTTTATTATGTGTCTTGATGTGGGCCTCCTTGGGTTGATTTGATTGGAGACTCTTTGTGCCTTTTGGATTTGGATGCTTGTTTCCTTACCCAGATTGGGGAAGCTTTCAGCTATTATTTTTTAAAATAAGTTTCCTGCCCCCTTTTCTCTTTTTCTTCTGGGATCCCTGTAATGTAAATGTTATTATGCTTAATGATAGTGCTGAGTTCCCATATTTATTCTATGGGAATAGAATATTCCATTATGCTATTTATTCTCATTTTGTATTCTTCTTTTCTTTTTGCTGTTCAGCTTGGTTGCTTTCTATTACTGTCTTCCAGATTGTTGATTTGTTTTTCTTCATATTGTAATCTGCTGTTGATTCCCTCTAGTACATTTTTAATTTCAGTTATTGAGTTCTCTAGGATCAGGAATAGTTTAGTAACATTGGAATTAGCTGTTCTTGAGAGGCTGAACACAAGTAAGCTTTGAAACCATTCGATCTTATTGCCTTCCCCCCTGCTTTCTGTGGTGGACTTAAAAATACTTCCTAGGTTTCTTTACTATAGTAAATAACATTGAGTTTTAGAACTAAGTTTCCTGGCTTGCTTCAGAAAATTACATTAATGTCATTTAACATTTGTGTTATATATTTCTTCCAAGGAGTTCAAATTGCATTATAGCAATTACTGAAATTAGAATCAAGATGTTAGAACTGGAAGAAACCTTAAAAAATATCTAACTCAAATTTCTCATTTCATAATTAAACATTAGTTAATTAAACATTAGTTTTCTCATAATTGAGTTTCAGTTAAGAAGATAGTTTATTAGTGGTTATTTGAGATGTAGAAATGTTCATATAAACTATATAGTCAGCTAAGTCTAGTAATATTTGGTTTAGGAAATCTTGGGATCTTTCATTTTCCAGGTTTAGATTAAATGATGTTAAGCCAGGAATGGAAATTCCCAACAGATATATTTTTAGTGAAAATCTTCACTCATTAACCTGAATACCAGTTAACTTTTCTAAATAATTTTTTTAAAAAATATTTTATTTATTTATTCATGAGAAACAGAGAGAGAGGTAGAGACACAAGCGGAGGGAGAAGCAAGCTCCATGGAGGGAGCCCAATGTGGGACTCAATCCCGAGTCTCCAGGATCATGCCCTGGGCCGAAGGCGGCGCTAAACCGCTGAGCCACCCAGGCTGCCCTAAATCATTCTTTAGTTGTTTTTATATGCTGACTGTAAAGACTGATTAGGAACAGATTATCATATATATTCAATTTATTTTCACCTAAAAAGTGGAAAGGATTAGAACAAGACTGGGCTCTTTCCTCATGATCATCAGACTTTCTTCCACATCCAACTTACCAAGTCTTTGTCTAAAGCCCCAGGGACAGACTTGCTTCTTATGTTTACAGTATTATCTAAGTCTTCTGGAAATGATCCACTCAAATCTAACTCAGATCGACTCCGATCTGGAGGAAGGAAGAGAAAAGGAGAGATATGAATCAGTTTGTCAGAAGACTTCAGTTTTCACTGCAAATGTTTTATCTTTATTCCCATTCTTTCTAGGCACAGGGCACAGAGTGTTATGAAAGCAACAGAGTCAGTAACTTCATGCTGTTTATACTAATGTACTTTTTAACAGTATTTTGAAATCCTCTTGGATTGCATTACCAACACTGATGTGTTCATTTCACCTTCGATTAAAGGAAGTTGAATGTTCTATGTAAAATGCAAATTTTTAAGCTGTGTAAGGCTCCTGTTTTTCTGAGAATTCACTGTTTTCATATCTGACATAAAATGCTATTAAATGATATAGCAAGTTTCTTTCATACAAAAAGGGAGTGGCTATAGGTAAACTGAGAGGAAGTTCTATTTCTTTAGGCACCAAAACATTCTTTCATCAGAGGAACACCTTGCTTTTAAAAATATAATTTAAAGCACGATGCACAACTCAGTAATGAAATGGTAAATTAAATAATTAAATAATGAAGAAGTGCTTAGGACAGTGCCTGACACAGAGTATATACTCAGTAAATAGGAGCTGTTGATTAGAAGTAGTAGAAATACAAGCTATGAGATAGGCATCTATGCTAGTTTGAAATTTTTCTTTTAATGAGAGAATCAATCTTGTAGTCCTGAACAAAATGCAATGACAACCACATATATTTAGAAAATGCTTTGGAAGCTTCCTGACTAGGAAAGACTCCTCAACTCAGCACAAAGAATCCAGCCTTGGGGTTTATGCAAATATCATCATTAGGTAACAACTTTCTCATGTTGAGGATTTTGTCCTGATTTTAATTCTACCAGGGGACACAAACTTAACTATGGCCAATTTCTCTAAAGAATTTTCTTATTCATAGGTAATAAAATTACAACATACATAATACCTGCTTCCCAGGGTTGTTGTGATCAAGAAGCGAAATATATGCCATATTTGAAAGTACCATACAAATGAAAAGGGTTGTTATTAATACCTTAACGCTGCTTTAACTAACTTTTTATTTAAACCACAGGATAATTAATGACCACCGTATCAGATGAACTATCATTTCCTTGAATTCTGGGAAAATGTCTTTATCTTTCCATCAAATGAACCAATTTTATTTCCTACACTCCTATACTGACGTTTGGTGTAGCTCTGAAACTTGGCAGTGATGACTGACAAGTATATACACTTAATAAATGGATTTTGCATGAATGCAAGAGACTCAGGGCATCACCTGCGTCCACATTTAGGCTTTTCTTCTGGAATGGGCCTACCATCATGGATCAAGGAACAGACGATTATTTTCTAAAGCATAAAAATCCAGTTCATGTCACACAAGGCAGTGAATTTCAAATGATTTAGTAATTTTTTTAAGAAAAAAGAGTAAGCATGCTGTAAATACCCACCTGAAGAGAGGGAGATTTCAGACACTGCTATGGAAGGTGTACCAGAAATGTTTCTGCGATGACTTTTTGTGAGGTCCTCATATGTGCTTTCAATGGCAGCCAAATCCATGGAATTTTCAAAACCATGTTCCTTCTCACAAAGTAAAAATGGAAAAACACATTATAATGACTGTAAATTACTTTAAAAGCCTCTCATATGAATATGTTTCAGTAATAACCATATTTATGTTGTATTCTTCTTTAGGAGGGGCTAGTTGACATCTGTGGGAGGTGTCCTCATCAGGAGTCCATGTAACTCTAAAACTTACTACCTATAATTGCTCTATAAAATCTATACCAAGAGGCTTGTTAATTTGCACAAAAGTTGTTCAAAATAATTTTTCATTCACAAAATTGTGAGTGTTCTAAAAATGATTAGCAAGAAAGATACAGGTACCTTCTTACATGAACTATATATAAGAATCTGGCTAGCATGACATCCCCAGAGTAATACTCAAGCTTAGTATCTGTTTGGTCCTATGTTTGTCCCCACTCTCAATATCCTATTTCTTCAACCGCCCCTTACCTCTTCCACCCCCGTTTAACAGAAGACCATGACCCACAATCCAGGTTAACACATGGCTTGGTAGGGCCCTCAGGATACTGCCCCAGACCTGGGCCAGAGTCTGTTCTGACTTCTCAGTGCCTCTGTCATACTCCGGTAACTAAATATTTTTAATATCATTCCCTGTTAGGTTGCCAAGAAGTAAGGGTAATCATCAACTATCCATGGACTTTTCTGGCTTTTGAACACTACTGCTTGCTGAGCTTAGTATAAATATTTATGAAATTTTAAATCTGCCTTTTACCTTATCAGCAAGTACAATTCAGACTATACGTATTGAAAGGAATCTTATATTATTATTCAATCTGTCTGAATGCCTTTTGGCTTTTCCTTAAAAATATTTATAGAATCTGACTGTTCATAGCTTCTGCTTTTTTTTAAGTTCATGATTTATTTTTCTGAAGTCACATTAGAGGAATAGTTGATATTTTAGATAAATATTTAGTTTTTATATTCATTATTTGGATAGTGACTATTTTTATTGAAGTATAGTTGACATACAATATTAATTTCAGATAGATAACACAGTGATTCGACAATTGTATACATTATGCAACGCTCACCACAGTAAGTGTAGTCACCATCTGTCACCACCATACAATGTTATCGACTATATTCCCTATCCTCTATTTTTCATCTCCGTGACTTATTTATTTTACAAATGGAAGTTTGGACCTCTTAATCTCCTTCATCTACTTCACCTATCACCTCATTCTCCTCTCCTCTGGCAACCATTAGTCTGTTCTCTCTATATTTGAGTCTGTTTCTGGTTTTGTCCCAGTTTGTTCATTTATTTTAAGACTCCATATATAAGTGAAATTATATGGTATTTATATTTCTCTTACTTCCCTTAGTGTAATATCCTCTAAGTCCCTCCGTGTTGTCACAAATGGCATGATCTCATTCTTTTTTTTTTTTTTATGGCTGAGCTATATTCGTGTGTGTGTGTGTGTGTGTGTACCACATCTTCTTTATCCATTCACCTATCAGTGGACATTGGGGTTGCTTCCATATCTTGGCCATTGTAAATAATGCTACAGTATACATAGGGGTGCAGATATCTTTTTGAATTAGTGTTTTCATTTTCTTTGGGTAAATACTCCATAGTGGAATTACTGGATCATATGGTATTTCTATTTTTAATTTTTTTGAGAAATCTCCAGAATGTTTTCCAGAGTGGTTGCACTGATTTTCATTCCTACCAACAGTGCACAGGATTCACAACCTCCACTTCTATCTCCTTGTTCCAAAGCCTAGTTTCTCACCAGCAGTAAGACAATGACATCCTAACTGGCCTCCTGGCTTTTCCATTTGTTCCCCTAAAGCTGCTTCTCAGCACAACCTCCAGATCCTATATAAAGAGAAGTCACATCCTCTGCCCATTTAAAAAACTGGATTATTTGGGTTTTGGGGTGCTGAGTTGTGTAAGTCCTTTATATATTTTGGATTAAGGAGCGCACTTATCATGATGAGCACTGGGTGATGTATGGAAGTGTTGAATCACTATATTGTATATCTCAAACTAATATAATGCTAATATAATACTGTATGTTAACAATACTGGAATTTTTTTTTATTTTTTTATTTATTTATGATAGTGAGAGGAGAGAGAGAGAGAGAGAGAGGAGAGGCAGAGACACAGGCAGAGGGAGAAGCAGGCTCCATGCACCGGGAGCCCGACGTGGGACTCGATCCCAGGTCTCCAGGATCGCGCCCTGGGCCAAAGGCAGGCGCCAAACCGCTGCGCCACCCAGGGATCCTAATACTGGAATTTTAAAAAACTTAATAAAAACAAAAAAACAATATAATACTAATATAATACTGTATGTTAACAATACTGGAGTTAAAAAAAACTTAATAAAAACAAAAAAATTACAAATAAGAGAAGCCACATCATGTCACTCCTCTACTCAAAGCCCTCCAACTGTCTTCACCTCATTCCAACTAAAGGTCAAAATGCGTACAGTGGCCTGGTCCTGTGACCTCTCTGAGTTCATTTCCTGGTACCCCTCCCCTTTCTTCACTACAACAGCCATGCTGGCCTTCTTGTTCTTTCTTCCACTAGGCACATACCCACTTCAGTCTTAGCACCGGCTGTTTCTCCAAGGCATTAAAAGTATTTTAGACACTGGCTGAACAAGTACACTGGCCATTCAAGATGGAGGCTGGCCTTCCCTGCATGTGTGCCTGCTGAAAGTCAGTGCTGTCTCTGCCTGAAGGGGTACCATGCTACAGACTCCTGCATGCCTAATTCCTTCACTTACTTCAAGTCTCTGCCTGACCAGGACCAAGATTTCTTAAATCTAGATGTCAGCCATACATATAGAGTTTCTTGCTTAACCAAAAAATCTAGATGCTCATTCATTCCCAAGAATAACTTCCACATTCCATAAATATTTTAGGTATAATGCAGTTTAAGTCTCTATTATATGTTGATCCCTAGGTTTAACAGGCATGGAGAAAGGAAAACCATTAAAAAGTTTCAAGACTACTATTCCTGACTTAAATCAGTCTGGAAAATGTTTAGTGCAGTTGACTTAATGAATATCTTGACAAACAATGTGAAGGATCAAAAGTGCAGACTTCTAAACATTATTTATATATTTTTAAAACCATATATAAACTCACTGCTCCCTTTCCTTCACACTTATGGGTTCCCATCAGGAGGTAAGGATGCAGGAGGTTTGATCCTGATGAAGAGGTTTCTACAATTAAATGGCATAAACAACATGCTCCGAGGTATAGAGAACTCAAACCCAACCAGGCCATGATGGTGAGGTCAAGTCTCAGAAGCTGGGTGTGCCCTTTCACATCTGTGCACTTACTCTAATGCTGACTGAGGCCACACTGCGTGTGCTTGGGGCTGGTGACCTCTGAGGGACTGGGGTCACACTGCTGCTCCGGGTGCTCTTCGGGGTTGTGGGGCCAGCTTCTTGGTCATTAAGATCTGATGAACCAGTGCTTCCCCTAAATGAGAAAGAATATTCGGACTTCAGCATGCTCAGCAACTACCATGTTGCTTTCATCCTCAAAGACTCACTAGGCTCAAGCTCATTTGTCTGACTCCAGGGTTTTTGCAATTGAGCTTTGCCCTACCTTGCCAGGTTTATTTCCCACTGCTCACCAGCATTCTCCCAGCCCAATCCGGTTCCTTGTTGTCCTCTCAACTCACCACACTCGCGGCTCATGTTCCTGCTTGTACCCCTAAGGTTTTTGCTCACATTCTCTCCACTTAACAAACTCTATTTGTCATTTCCTGTTTATGCAAGTTTTCCCCATCCTTCAAGGCCTGGAAGTCCAGCCTCCCCCATCAGGACTTCCCTGTCCTTTGCAAGCCTTATATATGACCTCTGCTCTGCTCAGTTCTTACTGACTTACAGTCTTTGCTAAACTGTGAGGCCCCCGACTACAGGATGTCTTATTTGGCTCTGCAAGTGATCCACAAATGTGGGCCTTGCTGCCTCTTTCAACCTGAGCTCTTTGGGGACAGAGTTCATGACACATTTGCCATGATATCTCTACCACCTTCATAATGCTTTGGTGCAAAGGAGGCACTCAGTACATATTTAATCAAAGAGTGGAAATTATGTTGTATTGCTCTGTGTTGTTTCAGTGTCTGACTCATGGACTCATTTAATAAATGCAACATAAAAATACTGACATTTGGTAAATGGGCTTGACTCACTTTGTTTGCTAAAACTGATTCAATCCCATTCAATAATGATTAATAAAAAAATAGTTCCTGCCCTTCAGGTGAACACCATTATCTTATTACATGGAGTTTCATTAAGTCAGTATAAGTTTTGACAAATTAGAGTTTAAGAGACATGTTTGTTCTATTTTATTTTTTATCCTTGCTGAGTACAAAATACATTAAGTGGTAGAATAGAAGCTTTTGTGAATTGCACTCTCTTATTTTCTATTTAATAAGTTATAAGTGCATCTACGATATACATTTTACTGTTTAAAGCCTAGCAGTGATAGTTCATAGTGATTAGAACTTGCAGTTGAGCTGATCAAAGAAGATATGCAAAAGAACAGAGGAAGTGTGTTTTGTTTTTCTAAAAAGAATGTCTGACTGTTCACGTGCCATTACTGGAAGACAAATCTGGCAGGACAAAGAATTGGCATTGACTAGGGCAGCTATCAACTACAGTTCAAAAGCTTTTCAAGGTTGTGCACCAGAAAAGTCACCAGAATCAAATAAAATATGCCCCGACTTAATACAACTGGCTACCACCACCCTCCCTAAGTATGCAAATAAAAGCTATATTTGTTGAGTATTTTCTAGGTGTTTGACACTTTCCAGTCCCTAATATACTTAAAAAAAGACACCAACAGTCTTATTTTAAAGATGAGAAAACTGAGTCTTGGAGAGGTTAAACAATCATTCCATATATGCACACATGTGTACATGTACACACACAATACAGACCACCACTACCACTACCACACTCTCACCCAGTTAGTACATAATAAAGTCAGGATAAAAACCGAGAATTGCCTGCCTACCCAAAGCCTATGCTTATTCTGGTTTCTCATGTTGCTTACTCATCATTTCACCAAGATCAAATTGATATAACCAGGCAAGTTCTACATTGATAGAAGGAGCTATCAGGCAGAAAATAATCCAAGGATCAGAGAGCTGGAAGTCAGTTTCTTGAAATCTGATTCAGAGAACTAAAAATTCTCTAGGTAGCATTCATTTGATACTACACAGTCTCTGGCTTCTTCTTCTAGAGATGGCACTCTGAATGAATTACAGATTTCTCAGGAGGGGTCTGAGACTGTGTCTTTGATTCTGACAACAAGAGAATAAAGTTTTGTGATTAAATAAGTTGATATAATTTGAAATTCTAAGTGCCTTGATAAATTTCCTGAGCCCTCCTACCTCAGGTGCTACACTTCTACACTTGACAACAGTTAACAACCCAAGTGATTTTGTTCATCTCCGAAGTCCTACTTAGAAAGGCCTTAGAGACCTACCCAGTAACTCTGTACTGTGACAGTAGGTTCTCTACTCTCAGGACAATGTTACTACAGAAATCTATCTCCCTACTATTTTAGGTAAAGTCTCCTTGAAAAAGAAAGGCTGGACATGAATCTTGCAGAAATGAGCCAAGCAGTTATGATACAAAGAGACTCATGTAGATCTATCCACTTGTGCCTATCCTGAAGGTGCTCCTTGACCCAGGTGGTTTTGAAAAAGTTCCCATCATGGATTAGTTTTGCTAGAACCAAAAGTCCTATTTATGTAGAAGCTCTGGCAGAAGTTGATCGATTGTGGTGATGACATTCAAGAGGCATAAAACATTCAAGAAAAAATTTCTTATGATTATAAGTCAACTACTGGAAATTGTTGCCAGAATCATTATCTCAAAAATGACATATAACTTCACATTTGTCCCTGACATTTACTGCGAGCTTCTCAAAAATATTTTTCTCTCAGTTGGTTGTTTCAGTTGATTAGACTAAAAAAGTTCTAGTCTAATGAGGCAGGATATCACAAATTTTTGGGTGCCAACTCTATTAGATGCTATATGAAATATGACATAAAATATATAAATCTTTACCACTTAAATAGAAAGAGGATAAAGGCTTCCTCAAGTCTAAATGCAAGAAGTTTAAAGTTCAATTAAGAAAGAGCTATTTTGGGGCAGCCCTGGTGGCCCAGTGGTTTAGCGCCGCCTTCAGCCCAGGGTGTGATCCTGGAGACCTGGGATTGAGTCCCACGTTGGGCTCCCTGCATGGAGCCTGCTTCTCCCTCTGCCTGTGTCTCTGCCTCTCTATCTCTCTCTGTCTCTCATGAATAAATAAATAAAATATTTTTTTAAAAAAAGAAAGAGCTATTTTTTGGGCAGAGGACCGGAATCGACATCTTCCCAAAGAAGGCATAGAGATGGCCACCAGACACTATCTGGTGTCACTATCACTAATGATAATGGCTCACTATCACTAATCATCGGGGAGATGCAAATCAAAACCACACTAAGTTCTCACCTCACACATGTCAAAATAGCTAGAACCAAAAAGACAAGAAATAATAAGAGTTGAAGAGGATGTGGAGAAAAAGGGAGTACTCATGTACTATTGGTGAAATGTAAATTGGTGCAGCCACTGTGGAAAAGAGTGTGGAGGTTCCTCAAAAGAGGAATATATTTTCCTGTTCTCATAGGGCCCAAAGTGTGGGGATACCACACTGGCTGGGAAGCTTGGATATCCCAGGTTACTTGAATACACATTTCCTAGAGTAGGAAACAGTCTCATTTACTTTAGCTTATGAAATATACTTTAGCTTTCCATTTTGTTATTTCTAATTTCATGCTGGCCCCAAATCAGGATAATGGCTTTCTAGATATATCTATTTTTACTTGCTAATTTATTTTTTTAAAGATTTTATTTATTTGAAAGAGGGAGAGAGAGAAGGAAAGAGAGAGTGAGTATGAGCAATCATGAGTGGGGAGAGTGGCAGAGGGAGAGGGACTTGGCAGACTGACCTGCCGAGTATGGGGCCTGATGCAGGGCTCGAACCCAGGACCCTGAGATCATGACCCACACAGAAGTTAGATACCTAACCCCTAGATATATCTATTTTTAGATAAAGGATCTAAGGATAGGGGAGAGAGACTATAATTTAATGAGTTGCCTGTGTGGATTGCATAACAGTCTCCCAGGAGTTGTAGTCTGGAAAGCATTTCCCAGGATACAACCTTCCAAGAGTGGGCTGACAATGTTGAGTCTGTGCCTGCATGGTTAAATGAGTACTCCCCGAAGGAAGATCAACCAAAAGGCAGCATTAATCTGAGAGATGCTAACGCTCACCGGGACAATGTGGCTAGTGCATAGCATGACACAGAGACTGCATGATATTTCTTCTGTGGTTTATGTGCTCTCCTAACTTTTCTTTAGTTATATTAGATCTGAAACGGGTATACAAGAAAAGCAAGGGAGGTGGTAGTTAGAAAGTGAGGTGATCCCATTAAATGGGAAAGAGATGTTAAAAATGAAAAAGGAAAGAGAAAAAAGCTGAACACAGTTCAACTTTCCAGTCTTCAGTGATCCCAAAACGCTTTGTCTTTGTCAACAGTCTTATGTGAGATGAGTGGTCCTCATCCCGGACTTCACATCAGAGACACTGGGGGAGCTTTTAAAAACCCCCATACCCAGACTACATCCACGACTAATCGCATCAGACTCTGGGCATGGGATGTAGGCCCACAGGATCAATATGTTCTAATGACACTTCCATCCCCCAGTGACTCCTATATGTAGCCACGGCTGAGAAACACTGGGCTAAACTGGATTCATTTAAATTTACTGATCTCAGACATCTCTCCACCTGTAACCTCTCCCCTCTCATACCACTACTTCTTAACCCCAGTGTTCGCAACAAGAGAGCTGAACTGTCCTCAAGACTTTCCCTTTTTTGAGAAAGGGAAGGACACCTTCTGTGAATGTGTTGTACCTGGACTCAGCAAACTATAGCCCATGGACTGAATTGGGCCCACCACCTGTTTTTTTTTTTTCTACCACCTGTTTTTATACAGCTTGTGAGCCAAGAGTGGTTTTTACATTTTTAATTAATCAAAAGAGTATTTTGTGACATGTGAAAATTACATGAAATTCAAATTTCAGTGCCCATAAATAAAGTTTCATCATAACGCCAGCATGCCCATGCATTTACATACTGCCTACAGCTGCTTTCATACTCCAACAGCAGAGCCGAGTAGTTGAGACAGAGACTACATGACCCACAAAGGTAAAAATATTAACTATCTGTATGTCTGCAGAAAGTCTATTGACCCCTGAGAGTGTTGCCCAAGCACACAGACACACAACACACAGATATGGGTATCTTCATTTAAAAAACGAACTCTTTGGAGAGGTCAACACATCCTAAAAGAATGAATTCCAGGTATTGGGTGCACGTGTGTCTATATGTGCATATATGTATGTGCGTTTTATTC